CATGCCGTTGAAGTTGGTGGCGTTCTGCGGCGTGGGAAGTGACGACGCAAGCAAGGCACCCAATAGTAGTCTGTCAGGATCTCATGGCACATCTACGAATCAGCAAAAAGAACGTATCAAATTTCGGTGAGCCATTGTCTCAGTATTGGAAGTGATTTACCCACTTGATAGAAGACAGTCAACGCATCTTCATGCAACGACTTCTTTACCTTTCTCGTTAGTTACTCCACAACGTGGTCTTCTCGAGTTTTCTTAACACCAGGTATTGTGATACCGGATCCTCAGCACCTTCTAACTTCAGCGCGAATTACGTCGTTGAACCTTCTGTATTCGTGTTTTACTTGGAGAAAGATGCTTTGCAAAATCTGCATGTCGATGTTCCGTGGTCTCACATCCAACGGAATCGCGTTCGACCTAGATTACAAGATCCATCACCAAAACAGTCTTTCGCTCTCAAGGTCAGCCGCGAGCGGTTGTCGCATTTGTGGCGAATTACTTCGTTGGACACTGGACTTGCATGACTCACTTAATAATTTCACGGGCCCATGGATGTATCGGACTGCCTTCGACCGGACAGGCTCGGAGTCCATTGCTCGGCTCACCATCACTAGCCCATATCGAAGCGGTGGTATGTTCTCGCGCCACTTCCGTGTCTATCCGAAATCATCTGTCAACGTCAACTCCAGCGTCGCTGTCAGGAACGGCATCATACCCGAATCTCAAGCTTTGAAAGCCGTGCGGTATTGGATGGGTACGTGCTTAGCAGAACACGCAGAATGTCGCGTCAAAGGCCAACCAAAATCGTATCCTACCCGCTTGCTAGAGATCCATGATTCAGGATTACGACTCATCGACACCAAGACGACACCGGTTTCTGGACCGTATGCTGCACTCAGCTATTGCTGGGGTTCGAATCCTTCATTCCTCCGTCTCACCGCTTGGAACCAAGATAAGCTGCTGGCAGGTATCGCCGACGATGAGCTTCCAAAAGCTTTTCGCGAAGCTCTCAAAGTCGTACGATGCCTCAATATCCTGTACATCTGGATCGATTCGCTGTGTATTATTCAGACTGGGCCCGGAAGTACTGAAGACTGGGCCCATGAGTCCTCACGGATGGCGGACGTATACTCAAACAGCATACTTTGCCTTGCGCTGTACCGAGCTGCAAATCCATATGAGAGTACATTCCGAGGGGGTGTTCCACCTTTTATGCCACCCACTGAAGTTGATACAAGATGTATTTTCAATAGAGATGAGTCCGTTCATCATTCATGTGTCGTCTTCTCTTCCAGCTATTATGAAGACGCGCTCTACCGCCAGCCACTGGGTTCCCGAGGGTGGGCGTTGCAAGGAAGATTGCTGTCACCACGTGTTCTCGGGTTCGGTTGCGGAGAGTTGTTTTGGAGCTGTGCTGAATGCCAACACGCATGCGAATCGTTCCCGGATGGTCTGAGTCTCAAAGATAACTTCTTTCAAGGTCTGCAACTGACGTCGATCCCGTCAACGACAGAGCCAAAAGACAATTGGACCCTCACCACTGTCTGGTTCCGAGTTGTGGAGGAATATACCAACCGTGACCTCACGTTCCCAGAATCAGACAAGCTTGTGGCGTTGTCTGCAGTGGCCTTACGCTTGGGCCAGGCGATGGACGACATATGTATCTGGGGCCACTTCAACAAGAGCTTGATTAGAAGCTTGTACTGGAGTGTTGGCAAGATACATGTAAACCTGAAAAGGGGCAGGGCAACCCGAAGATCTCAAATAGCCTCTGATGGGAGATGTACCAACGGGATCAAGTTTTCTTCCTGGAGTTGGGCCTCTATGGACGGACCGATATCTTTCGAGCATGAAGTCTTTGGGACAATGGTTCCCTCCCCCCTCGCTTCATTCGAAAGGTACGTGATACAAAGCCCAGGCAAAGGTCATCAGCAAATTTCCGCCATCCTGCTCCAACTTCAGGTCTATGAAATGAAAGGGCAGTTGCAGCTGCATCGTGATGAGAGCGGCAGTACGGTCTATACCTTCGCCCCAACAGCATATTCGAGAATCATTGACTGCGCCAGAAAATTTACGGCTTTCCTGGATGACTCTCAAAATCTCCCTGAGGGTGCTCCCGTGACCTTTTGCCCCTTGATGGCTGTTAATGGGACAGATCCAGCCACCCTTAAGTCTTGCGACTTCGTTTTGGGTATGTTTGTCGAGAATACAGGTCATTCACTAGATGGCCATTTAATATTTCAGAGAGTAGGCTGCGGTTACATCGAGCTGAAAGACTGGGAGCCATGGTAAAATATCTATTATAGTGTTGAATTTCGAGGGACTAGCAAGATACTTCTGAGTTGAGACTTGGGGGCTTTACAGGTCTTTATGTTATGTTTTTCTCTTTTTCTCTTTTTCTCTTTTTCTCTTTTTCTCTTTTTCTCTTTTTCTCTTTTTCTCTTTTTCTCTTTTTCTCTTTTTCTCTTTTTCTCTTTTTCTCTTTTTCTCTTTTTCTCTTTTTCTCTTTTTCTCTTTTTCTCTTTTCTCTTTTCTCTTTTTCTCTTTCTCTTTTTCTTTTCTCTTTTCTCTTTTTCTCTTTTCTCTTTTTCTCTTTTTCTCTTTCTCTTTTCTTTTTCTTTTTGGGAGAAGTAAATAAGTGTTCCTCTTGTTCGTCGACTGTTCTTGCGAGGCGCGACTGAGGAGGCAGGTACCTTGGAGGCTCAGAAGTGTTGACTGAGAGATTCATGTTTTTTTTTTACTGGTGTAGAGTCTAGACGTGTTGGAAGCTGCGTGTTACATAATTACCATTTGGGAAAGAATCTCGGAGTTTGGGATAGGTTTCTTCTATTGTTTCTGTTTACTGAACTCGATATCATCATGTTGAATATGGGCGTATCTTCCTTGTCCACTCCACCCACCTAATCTCATCCCATCCTCCACCTTCATCCTCATCCTCACTTCCTCTTCACCTTTTCGACTCTCAGATAAACCTCACTTCAACAACGTTCTTCTCACTTGAGAAATTTCAGCTTCGTCGAAATGGAGTCTCCAGCAGCACCCTACTCGCCCTCGACCCATCCGCCGATCATCATGGACAAACTCGAAGTCGGATCCCTCTACATCATGATCTCGATCCCATTCTCCATCTACTTCGGCAAGAAGAAGCACATTTACGCGACTAGTCTTCCAGACGACCCGAACTTCCCCTTCTGCACATACGAGCTCATGGTCTCCCAGGGCCTCTCCACCGAAGAATTTCACTGGGACCTCTACTGGCACACTTCCGACTCGGCCACCGACGAGCTCATCCCGACGAATGGCAACAAATACGCCAGTAGAAGCGCCTATGACGATGGAAGCGGTACCCTTTACCGCCTCCGCCCCCTCGAAACCTGTCCCGCGACCTACACCCGCGACCGCCTCACAATCACCCGCGTCCGCGCCCACGCCCAGCTCGTAGGCCTCATCCGTGTCCTGACGGTGCCGCCCGCATTCATACCACACCTAAACCGCTACCTCGACTGGATGACCGCCGAGTCGGCCCGGGTCGCCGAGCGAAGCTTCGTCTGGGCCACAATGGCATACTACCGCACCCGCCGCCATCTCCTCAAGATGAAAGGTGTGCGCGATCATACCTTTAATCAATTCGACATCTCGCGCTTCACGGCGGAGCTGCTCTCGTTCGCCTACGCCGAGGTTCCTGGCGCGTTGTTGTTCGGTGGCATGGGGATGCCGAGACCGGTTGTTGCGTCTTAGTTGGGCGTTGCGATGGGGTTCCTTGAGGAGGAAGATGCTGCTGCTATCAGGCGCGAGAGGGATGAGCTTTTGAGGAGGCAGAGGGAGGAGGTTGGGGTTGTCACTGCTTGCTGGTACCAGTGAGGTGGTTGTGAGTGCTTGAAATTTTGCCTTGGGTGCTGGCTCACTTCGGTGTGGTGCATAGCACGATCTGCTATGTCCTCCTTCCCTCAATAGAACACATTTTTGGAGCTACGGGTAGCTAATGTCGAACTCTTGCTTCAGACTCAGAGAGAACACCAAAGGCAAGAAGGAAAGCAAGCCTTATCATGGCGAACAGCAGCTGCAAGCACACCGAAGAAGATACGGTCATCCTTGATTTAGAGCCCAGCTGGAGACTGGACACTACGTTAGGAGATAGCGACTGGTAGCTGCCACCTTCTTGCAATGCGTCTTTGATCACATGGAGATTCCAGTTATACATAGCTTTTAACACTTCTCGATAAGTAAAGCTACAAATGAGATGAAGTACAAGACAGCGAACAGTCCCCTCCTCCAACCCAGGTCGGGTTTCGGAGAGCCAAGCTTGAAGTCGACTTAAGTCCGGACGGCTCCTCGTCGGTTGACGCCGGAAAACAATCCATCAATCATCTGAGAGTCAAAAAGCGAAGCCTTTTTAGTCTTCACAAGGCTCGACGTCTAGAATGAAGAGTTCTGGGGTCCGGCGCGTAGTCGGCGGCTCCTCAGGTGCCCGAAATAACGTAATGCGGGTCGGACTGTACGACTGTGAACATGCATCCACCCGTACATAAACCTTGCCGAAATTACCTGCAGAAGCAAGAGAAAAAGCAAATCTACTTGAACTCTCCATATAAAGAGCCCCTTGGCAGACAATAAGGGGCTGGTCTGTCATGCGGCATGTGGTAGCCGCCTAACTGCGCAAGAATGAGCAAGTTTCCCGAACCCCTCACCACCTCACCAGTCAGTCTCCCCACGCCTAAAAGTCAAGTCACCCCAGCATCGAAGTCGCCGTCCTCGGGATGTAAAAGACGAACCACCTTCCCGCCCCCAACATCGAGCAAGTTTGAGGCATTCAGTTCCCTTGTCGTTGTCGTCGTCACCAGCGAAACGAGCTTCCTTTATCGAATAAGAGAGCCTGGGCTGTCGCTGCGATGCCGCTTCTAGAGATCATGGCGTTCGTACCTGCGTCTGCGCATCCGGTTCTGCTCTCCGAAGAGCCGATACCTCCTTATTCACAATACCTTGATTATTGAGAGGCGTTGATCATGAACCAGAGACTGAGAGGATCGATCCATCGTCCAGACCTGATCGCGGTCCTACTGTGTATCGAAGCTGTCGTCGTCTTCGCCGCTCTCGTGTTATTCGGCGTGGCGTACCCGGATCGCTTCCGCTCGCGACTCTGGAGGAACGGCGGCGAGGAAGGATGGTGTTCGAACCCGAGACTACGGATATACTTTTATGCCAACCACGAAGAGCCGCCCGAGATACCCTTGATATGGAGCCAGAGGTGATTTCCCGCGCTCTTCCATCACTCTGCCGAGGCCTCGACACTAATCTATCGCCTCGTCCAGGTTAACAACCTCCAACATGGCCACCGCGGTCCTCGGAGCGACGATTTTCTTCGCCCGTCTAACGATGGCGACCCTACAATACGAAGCCCGATGGACGAACCTCGCATACGACGCCTTCCTCAGCGTTCTGTGGGCCTGCAGTGCCGCTGCGCAGAACGGACCCGATCTAAGCGACACTCATCACCTCAGCGAGAGGCCATGGTATCTCACCCGAAGCTGTGACGAAGCGTGGCTAGAGAATCGTGGCTGGTGCAGAATTGCGAAGTGGGAATATGCCTGGTCTATCTTTGCTGCGTTCTTTTACGTCGCGAGGGTCGTTGGAACGTTGAGCTGGGCGTTATACGAGAAAGGAAGAAGAGATGGAATGAGCACAGGGTGCAAGGCGCTATCCTTATCAGAGTGCGATCTGTGGACAGAGGAGTGCGAAATTGCGTTGTACAAGGATGATGCGCAGCAGTATGACTGGGTGTCATATGGATCTGGCGTCGTACATGTTAACGACAGGTCAGCGCAGACGGCATTCAGGTGACACAACCCTACGACAAGGGGGTTCACCGCACGAGGAAGGCACGAGTTATGGCGAGGATTAACGATATCAACTTTGCATTGCAAATCTCTGCCTAACGACTATCGACAATAGGGCTGAAGTGAGGGGGTGAGGGAGTTCCATCGCATCTGGTTGCATGCAACCATTCGAAAACCATGTGGTCAATCCGTCCAAACAACCCGTAGATCCACCCGTGAATCATGGCGAACAGTTAAAGCTTTGAACATGCTTATTTGTTCTATAACAAGAGTATCAGTAACGTCATCTTGGTGGCTGATGGTGCGATCAGTGTCTGGGAGGGAAACTTACGGGGCAGCCGGCACAGGTGCAGTCCTTGCCGCAGTGGCAGGAGCCGGTGGAAGCGCATCCGCAGCCAGACATGTTGATGGTTGGTGGAGTCGTTTGAAGTGACTTGAAAGTTGTTTTGTTTGCCTTGAATGTGGACCGAAGTCGTTGATTGTTTGATTGTGCAGTGAAGTGGTGATGGAGATGGGAGAAGTCAAAGGCCGTGGGTGGCAAGTGGTTTGGTGGTTTAAGTAATGGCGCTGATTATCTAATAGCGACCCGGAGCATCACTGATGGAAAGGAAACAACCGGGCGAGATGGGAGGCAAGAGCGAGAGCACCTCCCATCTGGTTCCTTCCTCACGGCTTGGGCCAGTCAAACAGACCACATGTTCTTCACCCAAGCATGGAAGTCGCTAGTCAGCAGCCCCAAGTTCCAGCCAGCGATGCTAGCTTTGACGCCGGCGGTAGAAGGAACCTCCTCCATCACCCCGCCTCCTGCCTTTCTGTATCTCTTACCCGGTGCCTGCCCAACAACGATTGGGAAAGAACGAAGAACCCGTCGGCTGAGTGGTTCGGAGGAAAGTGGCGAATGACGTGCAGCCGGTACAGAAGCAGGAGCTACCTGAGATCGGTCTAGTCACAAGGCAAGACCCAACCTGCCACTCAATCAGTGGCAGTCCTCAGTGCCTCCTTCCCGGATCGAGACGACGCAAAGAAACCCCACTTTCCCACCGAGACAAGTGACGAACGGACCCGGGCGCTCAGACCGGCGTGGGCCCGTCTGCTGGCTGCCAGTTTAGGAACGAACCTGCCATTTGGCCAATCATACGGCTCTCATGCTGGCTTACTTAAGGAAGATACCGGAGTACCTGCTGCGGGGGAGGGGAACAACGGCTTGACGGCCATCTTTGAGACTTTGATTCTCCTCGATCGCGGGCCGAAGATCAGGGTCTTCCCTTGGAATTGATAACCTTATGATTTGCGAATTAACCGACGATTGGCAAGATCACCTTGCTTATTCAATTTTGCGTTTCACTAGTGGGTTGGGAAATGTCTAGCTGAAGACATCAGACTGCAGAATCTGCGAGAAAAAGACCTGCTCCCTCGGAAAAATGATATCGCCGCGGCCACACTTCTGAACATTGACTAGCTACTAGCCGTTGCATGTTGGCAAGCTATCTATAGCTGCTCATGTGTTCTGTCCTCTTTACTCGGACCGATGTGCAGCGAGTCGAGAGAGTTGGCATCGCAAGGGACCGTTCACGGCGCCGTGCATCATGCATGTGCGTCATCAGACGTGTTGGCGCAGGAGTCCGGCGCGTGCCTTTTTCTCAACTTCCCCAACTGCTGACATGCAGCAACGTTGCCGTTGGCTCGTGGCCGATGGAATCCGCTTTGACACTTCTTCCACTGGTTCCACGTATGACCCGATAACGCATCCCGGTGGGCGTATATCCGGAACTAGCAGATCTCAGCTTATCAGAACCCGACGTCTTGTTGCTGGTTCGGTGCCGGGTCCGAGATCGTCGTATTCCAGCTGGGCGTTGCATTTTCTGTACCCGATCCAGGAGATGGCTGGCAAGTGCCGAGGTTTCCCGCCGGCTTTCAGGTCTGGCACGTCCATTGCTACGAGGGCCCATGACCAAGTGTCGAAATTGAAATTGGTATAGACCTGTATCATAAACATCCCAGTGCCGCCTTCGCTAGTCTATCTGAGTTACATGAGCATGGCATGCAAAAATGAGAGTTTTTCGCTTGCGTGTCGTCGAATTCCCTGGGACTTGGTTGCCCCCGGCGGAAATCTCAACATGTAGTTGGGCAGTTGGGAGATGAAAAGGTACCTTATGAATGAAGCAGCTCCCGGGCGGATGAGTCTCGCCGGGGAAAATACAACTCTTCTGACTATCATAACGACCAAACGCAATGGAGAGGAGCTATTGAAGAAGTATGCGTCCCATAGGCCTCAATGAGAAATCATCAACTGAAGACACCGGGAAATATTTCTCCTGTCCATAGCATTGTTCAATGTTGTTGGACACTACACATGATTCCAAGGCCAATTCCTAAACGAAGAAGTGCCTTGCCATGTCTGTCATGACTTCGATGAACCTGTTGGCCCAAATCTATCATTCTCGCTGTACTTGACGCTAAAGTCCCTCGTGCAGACAATACCTCTTCCATGCTCTTTCTGTAGTATAATCTCCTCGCTGTTCGTATCGGAAGGCAAAGCACCAGCATACACAGCTTCAGCGGAACATCGGCCTTCCATAGCGATCGGAGAGCGCACCACCTCAGCTCTGGTACCTGTGCCAGAAATATATCTTTCAGTTACACTGAATTCGTCCTTGGTGTGCATCTCGAACTCGTCATGTAAACTGCGATCCAGCGGGATTCTGCTGGTCCTCCTGTTACCGCTCGCGTAGGGGGTGTTGCGAGAGGCACCGGCGCCAAGGGGTGTCTGACCACTTCGGCCGTAGCGGTCGTTGCTAGGGTAGTAGTCGACTGAGCTGTTGATCTTCAAGAGGCGACCGAAGAGAGGTTTGAGGTAGGAGGCGCAGGCTGCGATGATACCGATGTTGAGTTGGAGACTGGTTCGCATTGAGACTGATTAGCATGCGCACTTTCACTAACGCCTACACATTGCGTTGCGAAAGTAGTTGACTGAATGAAAGTAGACTCACTTTTGCCAGAAATGGACCCAATAGTCGAATATAGCATCTGGATTGCCACCTGTGGTTAACATGAATACAGCCTTGAGAATGCCCATAATGACTGCACTGGATTGAGAATCATGTCAGCGCATTCGCGAATCAAGAAGGATAGCAGGACATGATTAAGACTTACAAATAACCAAGGTTAAGGATGCCTATCACATAAAGTCTGACGCGGAATCTCATTTTCAAATGCCAGATAATCGGAATCGGCAGCGCTCCCAAGCAAATGTCGGTAAAGATGTTACAGGCTGACCCAAAGGTTTGTCAGAAATCGTGACAGATTAACACGCAGCATGACTTACAGATATTCCAGTACGTCAGGTTAATAAACAGATTGAAGTCGTGACACCTTGGATCAAAGGGGTTCATCCACTGAAACTCCCACCAGCCCGAATATGGCGTGCAGTAAACGAACAACCAAGCAATTGCTTGAATCGAGTACGCAATGACAAAACCTACAGACTTTAGCCATCGAAGTTTTGGATCTGAGGCGACAGCTTCGTATTCATACATACCAATTACGGCGTAAAGCGACCATCGGTACCATTGAAGGTCCCTCTTTAGTCGAAGTAGACTTATTGCCATCGATATCCTCAACAGTCCCATCGCGACGCCATCTGATAAAACTGTCTTCCAGAAAGATATCTGCTCGAATTCGGTTCTGTCGTTTGTCGGAATTGTCGAGCCATGACGACCGAGACCGTAAGGTATTTGAAGGACCAGGCAGATCCAGGAGACAAGAGCGAGGATCTAGATTGTGCTGAAGTTAATAATCTCTTTTCGACCTTCAAAAACGGACAAACTGATATAAGAGCACGGACTTACGGCGGCAGCCACCATAAGGGCATCTTCGGTTCCAAAGGCCCTGAGGATTACCACGCGAGCATAAGCACGCAGCGAGACGAATGCCAAAGCAATGAAGTGGAAAGCGCCAACCACGCCGACGATCCGCCCTGCATTGCTAGCATTGACGTACTCTGGAGAAAGGCCATCCATCGTTACTTCATGATTGTGAATCTGGAGAGGGTAGAAAGAGAGCAGCAACGAAGATGAGGGCGGCATAGACTTGTGGATAAGGCCACCCTCTTTTCTCGGGGCTCAGTATCACTGGGAATCCTACAGAGAGTATCAAGACTTTGGTGCTTATTCTTACGGCTACAAATGTCAGGGAACCTGAGCACTCTTGGTCTCGGCTTGGCCCCACGACTTTCCGGTCCTGGCTTCATGCGCCCTTCTTCGACGCTTCTGGTTTTAGGCTCAAGGGGCAGAAGAAGAAATTTGCACCTTGGAGCTTGTCAAAACTTGTCACAACTCGGGCTTCACCAGTACTTAGCCGGTAACTGATATTAGATTCTCAACTGGTGGTAACACTGGAGGTACCGCGCATGCCACAGTAACCCCAAATGACAGACGTCGTATTCCTTGCGAGACTATTGCTCAATGCGTAGATGCCTCCCTCCGAGGGATCCACTACCCTGTTGGTGACTCCTTTTCAACGTGCATTCTTGAAGAATCTGCATTGGTGTGGCACAGGGGAGAAGAGGGGTTGAACATACCGGGATTTCCGGGCAGCGAGTTGCCACATGGGCTACATATGCCAAGAACAAGGATAAAACGGTGAGAGTATAGGGCATCGATTGTCAAATACAGACTGTCAACTCGTCGAACACATGAGTCTTAAGTCGAGAAATTCCATGGCACAGCACAGCTGTCTAGTTCTTCAAGTGGAACAGACGATCCGGCCCAGCCCGATCTGACCACAGACCGCACGCACGGTCTAAACGGACCCATATGACAGGAAGATATGGGATATCAGGCCGTTTCTCAGCGCGGACCACGTTTGCCGCGGCAGTAGTGAACGACCCACAAGCCAATGTTCGAATCCCAAGCCAATCTTCCCGTTACTGTTTCTAGGCAATGACGAGGTGATTTGGAAGTTTACCCACAACGCCACAACCGGTCTTCGTTCTTCATCTGTCAA